TCTGGCAGGTAAGCTTCTGATGATCTTTTTCACATGATCAACAGTAGAGTATCCTTTATCCAGAACCTTTAGTCCAGCTGTAAGTATTTGAAATCTGGAGAACATAACTTCAACAGATTCAGAGTCTTCCATCTTGAAGGCTTCATACTTCTGGATCAGAGCCAGAGCCTTTGTTTCCTTGACTTGAGAATTTCCCTCATGAGTCATCTTTAAGTATTCAAACATGTCAAATGCAGTTTCCCTATTTGTAATTTTTTCATACTCAGTGTGAGATATTGCATTTAACAATATTGTTCTGGCCTTGTGGTGATTTCTAAATTCCTTCTTCTGAGCATCTGTCATAGATTTTATGTCTAATTTCTTGCCATTCCCATCAGTGGGATGAACATATCCATCTATGACCAGATCCCATAAATCAGCATCATATCCAAGGAAAAAGCTTTCAATTCTGTCTTTCTAATAATCAAATTTCTCCCCATCAAACATAGGGGGTTTGGTGCTGATTCTGTCCCTTTCTTCATATTTGTTGTTAATGTTAGATATTGTATTATCAGCCATTGTAACAACCAAATATATATCAGAGTTTTTCTCATTGGATCTTTACTGTCACTGTGAAGTGGTAGCACACACAAAACCGGAGCTCTGATGCCAACTAAAGGTGAGAAAATACTTAGAAGGGGGTTGAATAAGTATGAAGATAAAAACTTAGAAATAAAACTCAAGTATTTTTTATCCTGGTTCGTTGAACTCAACTACTCTAGTCCACCCTTCCTAGAGTGATTTGCCTTTCTCAAACAAGGACTTAATCCACTATTTAATCAACTGATTACAATAGTAAGCACTAAGAACAACTGTTCAAAGTCTTCTCAAGAACTGCTGATCCTAACTGGATCTTCTTAAGGTATTCTTACAATTAAATGTAATAATAAATACAAGTGTTTAAATTGCTTCTAATCAAGCTTTATCACAACTGTGATTTTTCACTTAAAGTTAAGAGCAAAGAATTTAATTCAAGAAAGAATATAAATAGTATGAGAGCTTTGAATATTGATTTCTTTCAGATGGAACGTTAGTTGAAGAAGATGGGTGAAGACTTGCTTTTATAGGCAGCTGATCCAAGGAGAGCTTCACATTGAGAAGAGTGTCCAAAAGGTCTGAGCCTTTTTGTCTTCATATCAAGTGACCTTTCCTAGAAGAAGAAAGCACAGAGAAATCCTTTTTGTCTGTGTTCTTGTGTCTAGCATAAATAAGGAAAGAGTCGTTTGAATTATTCCAACAGATATAATCTTGAATTCTTCTTCTTCAATTTTCAGCAAGATTCATCAGAGTCTACTTTGAACAGAGCCTTCTGATGTTGATCAGAGTTTTGCTGAATCAGAGTCTTCTGCAGCAGGTGTGCTTTTAGCGTGTGTAAGTTCAGAGCATGTTTGAGTTAGATCTTCAGTACTGACAGCTTTAGTACTTTCAGAATCTTCTGTAGTAACAATGCTTTGAGAACTCTTCATACATAATTCCTCTTTGGTTCAGATGCTTCTGATTTGCTTCAGATTCTTCTGGAGCTTTTGCTTCAGATCCTTCTGGAGCTTTTGCTTCAGATCCTTCTGGAGGCTACGCTCAGGATCTTCTGTTGGCAGCATTCAGAATCTTCTAATGGATGCATCTGGCGCTTCAGAGTCAAGCAAATTTCTTATGTTCAATTCTGATTTGCTTCTGGAGTGTTAGTTCCTTTACTATCTGCAGTAAAAACTCTTAAGCAAATTTTAGAGTATATAATTTTTAATTACAAAATTTCATAATAGTTATCATCAAAACATAGAGATATTATTAAGGTCAATCTGTGTTCTAACACAACTTCTCATTTGTCTCTGCACCACATTCTCTTCATATCTCCTTCCATTTTTCTGTTAAAATGGCTTCATCTTCTTCCTCCAAATATCTCTACTAAGTTTCATATATCCACAAGAGAAATGCCAATTTAATTTTCTCGTCAGTCAGACCTTCAATGAAGATTCCCCTCTGAAATACACTGACATTAAAACATCTTAATAGGAGTCTGATTCGCTGGTTAGATGGAGACATTCTAGAGGGTGAAAAAATCAGAAGAATTCAAAGGCTTGTTACCACGTTCAACCAAAATGGATAAGTTCATTTCTGGAAAAATGTTATTAATGACCAAGATGTTCATACGTTGATGTATAGTTCTCAGGAAATTGTCCTGATGGTTGTAAACGCTTAGTTATGTTGTTTAATCAGTATATTTGTTTGTTTTGTTGTTCTAGTGTTTAAATTATTGTTACTTGTTGTTTTTAAATTATTGTTATTGAATGTTGTGATATTAATGGAATGAAAGTTGTTGTTGATATAAAGAGACAAGGTTACATTTAAAACTATGATGTTGTGTTTGATCCTACATTGGGATATTTTGTACGATTGTGCCCGGGTTGACATCACAAACTACATAATCTGACCATTTTATTTGTCATATCCATCTCCGTTCGAATACGCGTGCTACTAGGAAGACCCTTTTTCTTTCTTCGCATAATTTCATTATTCCAGGAAATTTCGTCTTTGTATGCAGGCCATTAGTCCTCCTTTGCTACTACCTGAAAGCTAGTGCTATAGACATTGCATAGACTAATGACTATGTAAACAACGCACATATAGTTGGAAGGGTCCTGGCGAACCTTTGAACATGCTGCTATTACATGGGAGTAAAGCATACGAAAGGCTTGAAACTTTCCGTAGTCACACCAAGTCCTATCTAGTTCCACTCGGTAGCATCCCCTCGGCCTCCCTTCATTGTGATTCATTGACTCAGCAACACTGAACCAATCTTTATTACGGTCAAACATTGTGACCATGCGTGTATTAGCTTTGGTAGCTTCGTCCTTAATGAATTTCAACAAACTATCACTGAACAAATGCCCGGATTGCAAGATAGATCTTAAACGACCCTGTCATGGAAGGGGCTAGACCAAGTCACCAATACATGATTTGGTTTAGGTTGGTTACAACACAACAATTTGTGTCTGAGCCGACATATTTGATAGATCCGCGCCAACGTGCTTCATCCTCATACACACAACAACAACCACCTGCCCAACAACCAACCCCGCACCACACCTAACAACAATATCTACCCATTCAATCAAACTTCCAAATCTGCAACTCATTCATGCCACCTACCCAATCACAACAACAAGAGTCTGACCCTTACCGCCAACATCCACACACCGACACCACATCTGCTTATAGCCCCGATGACTCATTTGACTCCACCTCATCCCACCATAGTCTCCCCATAAATGAACACAGATACATCCTACCACCAAAACACCCAACCACTATTTGATTACTTTACCCAACAATAGCCATTGCATCGTTTTCAAAACGATTCAATGTACCAATTCGGCCAACCATACTGTTTGCACCTAACCCAACCACTGCGTCCCAACTTCGAAAACATGGGTATGAGACTGAATTGCGAGCACCGTTAGCAGCAACCACCCAACTATTAGGGACAGATGATTGAAAATTTGTCAAATACGTCGGGACCTTCGTACCAAATACCTTTTCTGCAGGACAATACACAAAGACCACAAACACCTCGACAAAATCGTGGTAAACCTCAGAGGCATGCTAATGCACCGAGATGTGGAACTGAGAGACGTTTTGATCGGGCCGGATATGGACTGTTTTTTCATTTCTTGTAAATTTTAATGTATTTTAATAATATTTTTAATTATTGCTTATTTGTGTTTTATTTTTTCCTCAATTTTTAACGTATTTTCAATTTATTTTTTTAATAAAACAAAAAATTAATAATTTAGGGAGGATGCGCCATTTTATATGGCGCATGCACTCCAAATTAGAGCTAGGAGGTGTATGTGCCATTTAATTTATCTACACCTATATGTTTGCTCCAAATCAAATAATGCATGAGCTTTAAATTAGTACATATACTCCAACTGAAATGGCGCCGACATGTTTTGCTGTTCTGAAACTACGTCACTTTAAAAAATAAATTGAAAAATATGTTATTTTAGTATTTAAATTGAATAAATAGATTATTTAAAAAAAATTTAAATCAAAAATAAAAATACCTTATAATGTTCTTTATTTCAAAATGATTCGAATCCAATATACAAAATTAAAACAAATAAAAAATGTTTAAAAAATAAATAAAAAGACACTCTAATTAAAGACACATCATATATTCATCCAAAATTTTAAAATGATAAATATGTGAATTCTTCTACTTATAATACAAGTCTCTACATTTCTAATCAATGTAAAATTTTCATCCATTACTCATTTATATTTCTAAACACTCCTCTCAGATATGAGTCTATCAACATTACTATCTCTCCCAAACAAAAGCTTTTTATTTCAAATACACTTGTATAGTTATTGATACTTTTTCAACAGTACGATACTTTGATACAAGAAAGTGATACCACTCTTAGATCAATAATATAGAGTCAACACAAAGAATCATTTTTCTTATTTAGGTCCTTTTCTACTAAGGACATATTATGATTCAATATATTCACCTAAAATAATTTTCACATTTCTAACCGACGTGAAATTTCTCCACAGTCACTTTTTTTTCTTTTTCAAGTAGTTCAAATTGAGTAATGATTGTTTAAAACAGATAAATATAAATTTATAATTAAATCTTAATTAATTTATAATCAAATCTTAATTAATAAAATGAGATAATTACAAATGATAAATAGATTTTAATACACCAAGTATAAGATAGGTAAATTGAGCAAAACTAGACTCAATTTTAATGACCATATTCTATTCAAAAGTTATATAAAAAGTATAAACAAAGACACACATTATATTAATTAAAAATGAAAAACAAAACAAAAAGGCTTATAATAATACAATTTTATCATACAAGATGATGCATTGCAATTGTTCACACAACCATGTCACCACACAATATTTTTCTTGCTCTCTATTCTTATTACACTACATTTTTGCAAAGCTTAAAGTCTACTAGTGATGTTAATGTTTCGAACTTTATGCAATTTAGATGCTGAATCTTTAGGAACAATAACAGTGAGAACTCCATTTTCAACATGTGCTTTAATCTGATCCAATTTCACATTCTCAGGCAATTCAATCATCCTTGAGAAACCCTCTTTTCCAGTCCCTCTCTCAGCTACATGCCAAACAGTCTCCTTTCCATGATTCTCTTCTTTCAAACTTTCTCCTCTAAGGTGCAAAACATTCCCTTCTTCAATCTGCAATTTTATCTCATCTTTGCTTAATCCTATATCCAAATGACCCATCATCCAAAACTTAATCAAAATCAAATAACCAACAAAAAGATTATATTTTTACAACAAAATATAGAATTACAAGTCATGAATCCATTTGGGTCATTGAAATTTTACCTGGAACGTTGATTTTGAGGATATGAGCAGTTGGGGATTCGATCCAATCCAATAGTGCTGTTGAGCCAGGGTATCTGTAAATTGGAGGATTGCCCAAGAAAAAACGTCTAAAAGGGTATCCAAAGATAGTGTCAGCCATTGATTTGATACTCTTGTGATACAATAAAAAGAGGTAAGAGAAAAATGTTGTAGCAGAAGTGATGAAATTGATGTATATAATGTTGTGGTTTCAAAGTTGGGTTTATGATGAGACACTCGAGAATGTTCTTTGATTTGATCCTATGTTCCATATTCATCATTCTTCTAGGTTCTTCTTTTTATGGAACGTGATAAACTACATGCAATTGGGTTTAATTTCTAGGCCCGTTCTTTTTGGGCCTGGTTATAAGTAGGTTAGAAGTTTTTTGAAAAATCTAGTTTGCCCCGCTAAGCCTTATTTATACCCCTACATTTCTTATAAATCTCTTGTTTGCCCCTCAGGTTTTTCACATTAAATATTCGTTAAGAAGCAAACTTCTGTAATTTCCAAAGCTATCTTATTTTGAAAAAAAATTTAAACATAAAATTAAATTTTTTATGTTTAAGTTCTTTCTTTGAAGCTTTAAGTTCTCTTGCTTGATTCAACATTGATTTATCACTTCATCTAGAAATTAACTTTTCTAACTAACCAGACTTAGATAACTTTTTTGATCAAAAGCCATTATGAGAGATTGCTAAACAGTTGTCTCTAAAGACTTCACCGAACTTTGTTTTACCTTAGGTGTGTCATCATTAAAATGAGTTGTTATTTGATCTTACAAAGAACATATTGATCTAACAAAAAACATATTCATTATTGAACCTTATTGGCACATAAAAACTTCACATAATGTCGTGTGACATAAGGTGTTGTCATCATCAAAATCAACAAGATTATCTAACCATTGCAGACACTTGTACTTACAAACATATAGATCCGCATAAATATCATCATTATAAAATATAAAAGTTATTAAAAATCAAAGATGATCAAGTTCCAAATTTAAAGAATAACATTAGAGAAATTGAAGATGTTAATGCTCGCATGGTCTCATGCTTTATTGTTTAATTTTATTTTGATCAATAATGTATAAAATAAGCAAGAGTAATTATTAAAGTAATAAAGTGATTTAGACACACTTAAATTATTTTCAGATCTACATCTATTTCAAAATCACTTGAAAAATTATTTATGGCCTTTACCTTACATCTATTTCAAAATCACTTGAAAAATTATTTATGGCCTTTACCTAATCAGTTAAAGACATGTTCTTATCAATTAAGAAAATAAAACTTGTTGTCTAATAGATTAAGGTTTGCTCTCCTCCTAGTCTATTAGAAAACCTTGATTACAAAATGTTTATGACTTAAATATTTTATTTTTTACTATGTCTTGCCGATTAGTGTCGCAGACTAATCGATTAAAGAACAACCAAAACTCATGAATTGTTTCTTTTTTATGTCAAATTTTTGCCTATATTAATAATTCTTGCGCTCCCTTCAAAGCTTAAATTTTATGATTTAATACTCTCTTTTCTCACTTATTATCTTATTGTAAATATTTTTAATTTACTATACATTACTTTAGTTTTGTAAGAGCGAAAAACTTATTGAGAGTTGTGTAATTATGTTGTTGTGCTGAAATTTAATTGGAAAGCTTAGTTCTCTTATATCCTTATCATTGGCTTTGAGGTTGTTAGGTAAACTTCACTACAACAAATAAGAAATTTCACGAAGAAACTTTCACCTCAAACATTTCAAAACAGAGGGGATATATCCTGAGAGCGACATGTTCTATTTAAAAAATTATATATAGATCTCATTCCCTCGGTTTTCTTAAAAACCGAGAGAATATAACTATAAGGGAGCTCGCTTCGCATCTCAGTTATTGCATTTTATGTTTTTTTTCTATGGTTTAATATTTTTTTCAGTTGACGCCTTTACAGCTTCCCATTTTTTCTTTGTTAATATTTTTTTATTAGTATTAACCTCAGTTATATGGTCCAACTAAGCGGTAATATATTTGTTTATTAATTTTTTCAAATCAATTTTTTCAAAAGCTCTTTTTAATTTTTTTATTTTATATATTCAAATCCCTCAGTTTTTTTTAAAAACAACCAACGTGATATGTATTTTAAATGCATTCCTAAAATATGACGTTAAGATGTTTTTTTATATATTTTTATTTTTAATAAAAACATACACATCATTTTTTTAAAACCGACATGATTTCTCTTTTGCATGAAATACTTCAGAGAACTAGACTCTAACTTTTTATTATCTATCGACACTCTAACTCCATATCGTCATTCTCTTTGCAAAACTCTTCCAAGAGTTGGCATTCATCAACACTCGAATATCAAAAGTCACTAACTCACCATTTGAGGTATGTTTGTTCTTATTTTTCACGTTTGTTCTTCTTCCAACAATGGTTTATATCACTGAAATGACTTTAGTTTTTCTTGATCATTTGTTTTTTCCATTTTGATCACTAAAATGGTTTATATCACTAAAATGGCTTTAGTATCGCTGAAATGGCTTTAGTTTCTCTTGATCATTTATTTATACATTTGATCATTGAAATGATGTTTCTACTGTTGTTTTTGTGTTAGTTAGTATGCTTCTACGTCTTGTTTATCACTTAAATGATGTTAGTTAGTATGTTTCTACGTGCTGTTTCATTATTTAGATAGTCATGGCTGATTCGACAAGCACCTCTCATATAACATCTGTTGCAACCTTTGTTAATACAAAAACGCAAAATAAAAATTAGAGGTGTCACGATGTATACGAAGGTGAAAAAAACCCACGAAAATGATATTCGCTACCAAGTTACAATTGATGTTGCAATCGGTAGGGCTTATGGTAAAAATGTTGAGGACTTTATGGGTTACATTGTGTTACAAGGTAGAAGTAAAGTAAGTATTTTAATAGATAGTTGACATAACGTTGACGATGATTTGAAAAACAGCATATGGACCGATATTACGATATTTGTTTTGAATTTTATGAATTGTTTTACAAGTATATATGATCATCTATATTTTTGTTTAATATTAATATTAATTATATTTTGTAAACATAGGAGGTGAGATTCTATAAGCCTTGATCGACTACATCTCCACCATCACGCCATGAGAAATGGAAGAGGGCATGTGTAACGCCCTAAACTGCTTTTAGTATTACCGACTGACCCCACAACCAATACAGGTCTTTTCAGCATGTTTTATCCTCACTCACACAATTTCTGAGAAACTTTTCAGAAGGTCACCCATCACAAAATTGCTCCAAGTCAAACATGCTTAACTGTGGAGTTCTTATGGAACGGGCTACCGAAAAGAAGATACATCTTATTGGTATAGGTAGTACCAATTAATCCTTATAAGCCTCCCTTCAACCATGCAGTCACATACCTGCACAGCCTCAGGATCCCTCTCATTCTGATGTGAATTTGGTTTATCCCTAGAAGCTTCTAGGTATGTCTCATTGTCATACCTCATGCAACGACAACCACTCCCTCGCCCTCGGGTGTTACATGTAACTACTCTCCATTCTCTTCGAGGCCGAAGAGTGGCTACAACATGTCAAGAAAAGGCGACGAGTTCAAATCAGATACTACACTAAAAAGATTGTAAGTAAATACTTTTTTTCAACAATATTTATTTTAGTTAAATCAATTTGGTAACGATGGAATTTTACACGTGTTGTAGGATGTACTGGTTGAACAATCCAAATTTGGCCTCTTCGTTCCACAAGATCATCATGATATCTGGGTAGAAGCGATTAAAACTGAGGAGCATCATAGGCGTGTCTGTGGTCTTGGAAGAGGCGTTAGCTTCAAGTCACATTTTGAACCATCTAAATCATATAGACATGTAAACCGCAGGAAAGAGATTCAAGAGATAATCGCGGTAAATCCGGGGGAGGCAAAGGAGAAGTGAATTCAGTAGGAGATGGAGATTTTGTTGCATTAGATGTGGGAGACTTTCTAGAAAGAGAAAGAGGAACGAGAGAGGTTGGTCAAGAAAAAGTGAAAGTACTCAAATAAGGAAGAGCTTGAGAAGATGTCTAGGAAGTGTACCTGCGATGTGCTTGAGGTATAAGTATAAGCTAAAAAAATTGTGTTGTATGTTGTTGTTATTATTGTTTGCGTATATTAATTTTTGTATTGTATGTTATGATGTAGAAATTGAATTCATTAGATCTACTCAACCAAACAATTTCAAATGCTTAGTTGTTCATTCATGAAAAAGTTATGGGTGGGTACAAGCACGAAAGAAAGTTATTCTGCCAACCAGGACAATATTGAAACCACACCACCACAACTAGATAATATTAAAAAACTTTCAATGATATTAGGTAGTATTTCAGATATCTTCTAGACTATTAAATTAAGTCATGATCCAGAACAATTTTTCGTACTTTCTAAGACTTCTATTATGGAATTTTCAAAGGGGGGTGAATGACTAGACAATACCATATTACAATTGTGGTGCTCGTTAGTATAATTTTTACATTGATTTCTATTTATATTCATATGTTCTCGTACTTTAACATAAGGATTTGACTCTTGCAGGTTCTTGCATGAGGTGTGTGTTGAAAGAAATTTAAGAAAGTATCGTTTCATAGATCCAACACACATTAGCCATCATTATGGTATGGTAGAAAACGACATCACACTTTACGTACAAGAGAAGTTGTGAACGAGAACAAAGAATGTTATTTGGCTCCGTTTTTCCGCCCGTAAGTATTAATTTGTGTTTTCATTTATAAATAAATTTTATACATATTATTAACTATTCTGAATATTTATGCAGTAATCATTGTCAACTAATAACTATATATCTGAAGCAAATTGTTGTAATTATGTTTTGTTCGTTGCACAAGGAACTTGAAGAAGCTATGATTAACACTTTGAGTGGGTAAGTGGTATTATTTTTCATAATCAAATTTTATCTTTAGTTTTGAATAGTTTTTATTCATGTTTAATTTTAACTGAAGTGCGTAGAGAGGTGGAGAGATACAATGCAATAAAACATAATGCATTTGGTAAAAATGCAAGGTTATATTATCCAAAAGTAAGTATATTATTTGTGTTTTTTGACATTCTTTTATTTGTGT